ATATTTGCAAATGGGCAGCACAATATTTTTAATACAGGTAGGGAAAGATGAAGAAGTATTTGAACGGTTTGAGCAACACCACTTCAAGCGTTTCTCAAATTTAGAAAGAACCAGCCTCACCACAACACATACACAATTCCCATTTTAGTTTTCTTCCTATCCTTTTTTCCAAATTAAAACAAAAAATAAATTTAAGGATTACAGTTTAAACTGGACATAACTGGAGTTTATGGAAAAAAGTTTATTAAAAACGCATAAATTCACTGCAATGGAAAGGCACACACTTACATTTTCAACAATTACTAGCAAAAAGTGAGACCAACTTGTGATATCTTTAAGGGATTTAATTTAAGAAACTGATTTAAAAAAGCAGAGTACAGTAAAAGCTGCCTTAAATCGGCACCTTACAAGCTGGCATGCTCCATTAACCGGCTTGTAAGGTAAAAACGAAACCAGAAGTGCCTACCATGGCAGTTCTGGTTTCGCCGAGCCCTCAGGGCAAAGCAGCCTGTGCTGCCAAGCCCCCATGGTATGGGCATAATAGCAGGCTGCGTGGGGCCCACCTCCCTGTCCCTTGGGGCCCAGCAGGAGAGGTGGCGATGTGGCGGGAGGGGCGGTGGAGAAGCAGCAGCCCGAACAGGCAAAGATGCCTGTTTGGGCCTCTCAATTAACCAGCATATTTTGTTATCTGGCACCCCCTGTGCCGGATAACAATGCTTTTGTTGTATTTATTCATCAGGATCCTCTTCCATTGCAATCTCTAAGCATACACTTAGAAATTTAGCCACCCAAAATCACTGGCTCCTTTTGAACACTTTGCCACAAAATATCAACTCTTATCTTAAATCAAAATCTTAACAGGAATGCACTGAAAGCCGGAAATTTGATGTCCAGACATTAAGGCTGCTGCAAGAAATAGTGCTAAAATGGAACTGAAAGATATACCTGTGTATGTCTTTGCAAGTGCAATCTTTTCATCGATCTCAGATGTTTCTGAGGGGCCTGCTTTGGGAACACAAATTAAAAAAAAAAAAAAAGATGTCACTTCTCCAGGCATTAAAATAATGTACTAAGCCAAAATCTTTTTAACTTCTTAAAAGATTTTGTCAGTTATCATTAAAAATTTACTGCTATAAAATTATGCGTAGGGAAGATTCAGTGGACACATGAAGGCACTGACTGCCCACAAACAGGCACGTGGGCTGAATAAACAAGTATTTCAGGCCTGAGCCCCACAAATGGAGGCATGGTGTTTAACCAACAGCCACACTTGGATCCAACTGCAGAAAATGCAATTGTAATGACCACGGAAAAGACTAAATATTTAATGAACTGTATAATCAAAAAATGACTCTCCTTGAATGTCAGTGTACATTTACCATTTACAAGAAGTTAATGGGCTAACTTTGCTTTAAAAGCCTCAAGTTTTTGTAATGACTTTTTTTTTTTAAATTTTCACATTTTTCTTTCAAATAAATTTGAACTCATTTATATTTGAGCTCATTTATGACCGATTAAATTTCTGTTTCCAGCAAGTCTCTCTGACTATACGACTTACATCTACATTCAAGAGACAGTCTGAAAGTGGCAAACATTTCAAATGCTGAAATTTATGAGCTTAATCACATGGCTCTTTTCAAGACTAAGTAACTAGAGCCCTGATAAAAGCTTTTTATAGAAATCAGTATACAACCATTCAACTGACACTTAAATATTAACACCCTTAAGCCTTACCACTTAATGCCAAGGCACAATAGAAAAACTACTTCAGCTAGCCGGAAACATGCGCTTTATTTTAGCATAAGACTATTCTACTTGTATTTGTTCTGTCTCCCTGCTGTGTGAGCAAAAGATCTTTTATATCAGGAACAATATCAGTGCACAAAACTGAGCACATTTGGCATACTTGGACTAAGTGAATGCTTTGATAGTGGGGGTTATGTCCTGTAACCTGCATCATTTGTAGAATAATTTGCAAATACAATCAATAAGATATCACACCCCTTCAGAATCTGTACTCATTTAGGGGCAAGTTTAAAAGAGCACTAGAACACTGATTTTTTCATACTAAAAAAAAAAAAGAAGACATGTGAGCAGCACATCGTAGTTCTGCCCCACAAATCTTGCACTGTCACCATCCCACAATCCAGCCCTGTGATCCCAGGCCCAGCCCCGCTCATCCCACTCCTGGATGCCACTTTCTACCTGCCCACAGCCCCAAACCATCTGCCCAGCCAAGCACACCCTGCTTGCAGGGGACCCAGGCCAGCCTCCATGGAGAGCCCCCCATCCGCTCCACCTAGCACCCCCAGCTGTGGGTGCAGAGTAAACAGGTTTCGGCGTCCAGGCAGTGGGGCCAGGTCCAGCAGAGGTAGCAACACTGGCAGCAGCAGCCAGGAGCTGCTGTCGTCGGGGCTGCAGGAAAGCAGAGTCCAGCCGCTGTGCTACCCCATCCCCACTGCACACCCAGAGCTGGAGGGACTGGCCACATAGGCCATGGCCTGGGCTACCCCTTGCACCTGGGCTGTGCAGGACCAAGGGACCTGCCGGGGGCCAGATAAAAATCCCTTGATGGGCCGGATGTGGCCCATGGGCCATATTTTGCCCACCCCTGGCTCTAAGGAGTCTGAGGGATTTGCAGATGCATCCAATTTTAACACTCTGTACTTTCACCTCTTGGCATCCAGTCATTTAATGATCCTACAATATCGGAATCTAAAAGTAGGGAACTTCAACTGTTTTTACAGGGTACCAGACAGACCCAATCATGCAGTCCCTCTACATCCAGAACTCCCAACAACTTCAACATATCTGGCTACAGGAAGCAGAACTCCTCAAACAATTCTAAACATCCACTTGAAAAACAAGGTAAAACAAGACATCTAATTCCTTCTTGCTCAATTGCATGACAAAACTGCTATCAGTGACTCCTTTGAAAAAAAGTTGCTGTTCTACTATCCCACTGAATCTGGTGGAGTCCCAACCCAAATCCAAAACATTATACACCTAAACCATAAAAGAGGAGAAACAGAGCCTGCCGGACACACTAAAAACTCATTTTGCTTATCCACTGGCAATCAGATCAAGACTGACTGGCTGTTAAATTTGCAGAGCTAAGAAAGTGACAGGTAAGCGTATAAGTCAACATGGCAAAAATGTTTCACGCACTGGGGGGGCTAACTTCCATAACATGAAGACAATGAAAATCAAACCTGTTAATTAGATAAAACTGACACAGCACTTAGATGGAATCCATTACTTTTGAACATCATGTCATTTCCAAGGTCTTAAAAGTTGCAAGAGAGGGACCGAATCCTGGACAGAAGAATGGTATTGAAGCTTAATTTGTTAAATATTCAGAAAAATATTTGTAGATCCTCAAATGAAAGAGTTAAAACATATTGTATCATAAAAACATGTCTTTAGTATAACGCATCATTCAGTTTTAAAGTTATAAAAAAAAAACAAAACCCTACAGATTCTATTACTTCCACTGTAGCTTTTTAAGGAAGATTTACAAGTTTGAGACTTACGAAAGAAAAAAGTCATGTTTTCCCCTCTTTCTGCTACTCAAGGGAATATATTTGTTTGAATTCTGAGAGTTCAGATTTCTTACTCCTAATGAATTATGCACTGGAACAAAACATGTACACATCTGTCACCTATCTGGACCAACACATTAATAATCTGATAGATCATCCTGGTTAACTATGGTAACTTCTTTCATCGCTGAAGTAGCAGAGGATGGTATAGGTGAGTGTCATCATCAGGAATCACTAGTGTTCCACGTTTTCAGTTTGTGCCTATTTTCACTGATAAATTTCCTGATGTTTTATTGAAGTTATTCAGTTTTTAATCGATTTACACCCAGTTTTCAGTTCACTCATTTTTACCAGGTACAGTAAAATCCCTGTTAACTGGCATGAGTGGGGAAGGGCTGGGGGGTGCCGGTAAGCTAGAAGTACTGGTTATCCAAGGCACACGTTTCCGGCCAGATGCGGGGGGGGGGGGGGGGCC